CTATGTTTTCTGTAACATGCACAATATAGTTATATTGTGTTGTGTGTGTTGTGTACACTCCGCGCAGCTTCTACGCGGGGTAAAGTTAGTTTTGTTTTTGATATTCACCAGACATTCATTGAAAAATGGCAATTACCTCCTAAACGACTTCGCCAAATATGACTTCGCTCTATATAATAAGCACTGCCCCCCAAAAGCCGCTGCAATGTGAGGGAAAGCTTGACGGAGGAGTAATTAAGGGACCGTGTGGAAAGTGCACTTTTTCTGACACGTTTGTTCAAACACTATATACAATTTTCAACACTTGACAAGCTATAATCCTGGTTATGGGCATACCGTTTCTGACAACGGTTTACCAATAACAACTGACTGGGTCATTTGACCAATCGCCGCAGATTCTCGTCACTCAAAGGAGGTGTTTGGGAAAATGAATCGTTGTACGAATCATTTGGGAGTCGTTGAGCAAATCAGTTAAAAATAAATGCATATTATAAGACAAATAAAGTGTTTTTTTATCCTTGCATGCACGTTAAACTGTTTTTGGGAACTCCCAAAACAAAAATAGGAACATTTCAAATGCTATGATAGGGGCTCTTTAAAATGATGAGAACACAAGGTTCAGGCTGTGGTATCGTTGCAAATGTGAACTCTGACCACTGATTTTTCACATGCTCGTCCCTGGGCAATGAAAACAAGTGGCTGATGAATCATAGGTTTAAATGTGTTCTAGAGACTTCAAGTTTACACTTCCGCGCAGTTGTTGGGAGCGGCCAATGAGCTAATGTTTATATCTACGTCACGACGAAACAGCTAATGACTCGTTTCAAAAACAATTCATTTCATAGACTCAGAGTCGACTCTCACTTTTGAAAGACAATAACTTTATATACGGTGCACTTTCAGATATAAATCTTTGCAGGATGTTTTCATTCCCTTAGAGCTACATTCCACACTACATGAACAGTCATTTTCAAAAATCCTTGATAGGTGTTCTTTATTAATTATGAATGGAAAATACCATATACACAAAAAAACAAAAACAAATAGACCAATAGACTTAAAGGTTCAGTGTGTATTTTTAGCAACGTCTCGTGGTTGGGTTGTGAGTTGCACTAATGGCTCTGCCCACTGCTCACCCCTCCCTTTCGAAAGAAGCTTCGGTGGCTAAAATGGGACAAACATATCATCGTCTGAGACAGCAATAGCCAGAGTAAGCCAAGAGGGAGTAACTGTTTCTGTACCACAGTCTATTACAAATCACATCATCAGAACCACATGAAACTATGCAACTATTTATTTTTTTTCGAACAGGATAGTCAAACTTTAGCTGGCTAAATATGAGCTGTTACTGTGGCTAAGATGGCTAAGATAAGTGTAAAGCCTTGTTTAAACTCGACGCGTCCGCATGAGCCCAAAGGTGTGCGCGGCAAAAATGACATGATTGTAATCGTGTGTGCATCCGCATCCCCTACACACTACAGTATTTACTACACAGAATAGGCTTTTTCCCTCTGATTTTGAAAACTCTTCACGATCGACTTAAAGGGACAATGTGTACTTTTTTACGCAGGCTATTTTATTATTTAAAAACAATATTTTTATTCATAAATAAATAAATTTCCACATTGGTGTACAAATTCATCTGCCAATTATTTGACTTGTCCTCGTAAACAAAGAATTTATTATATTTAAATACATGGGACAGGTAGGTCCACGGAGGCTTCTTCCGCCAGCTTAAAAAACTATAATAGCAGAGAGGGACAATATTATTTCAGCAACATGACAAGCCAGTGAATTTGCAGGTTTCATTTGTTGCTTTGTACATTGCTGACATTTTATCTACATGTAACGCTGCTAGAGTTTTGACACCAAGTCAATGGGCTCTGTCTAATTCTTTCTTTTTTTGCCTGTTAATCATCATCATTTTTTTTCCTTTTACCCTTTTTTGTTTTATGAGCATGTGCCACTCGAGAAATTGGCAGTTTAGGTTGTTTCTCCACCATTAGCACAGCTGCAGCACACCGGCAATCTTCACTTTGGTTTGAATGACGGTGCACTGTGAAAGAGAGGGGTGTGATCAGCGCATACACAAGCGTGATTAACACTGCTAAGACACTCCTCCTGGCTCTGATTGGTAATAGGACCACTCGGAGGAGCCAGGGGAGCTTAATTTTCAAAGATTATCTGTCTCATAGTCTACTGTCAGGACATAATGACAGTTTTAACAAATATGTAAAAAAATATTTGTTTACAAAAGTTACCTACTGCAGCTTTAAATATTTTCACATGCCTCTGATACTGCATACTTTCAAATTTCGGCTGTTGTTCAGATGAAGTCAGTTCAGTGAGGAATCTGCGGATCCAGTTCCGTTTTAAAATCATCAATTATCAAATTTTTATTTCATCTATAAAACAGTTCTGCAAAAAAAAATGTCACAGTCCAGCTCAGTTCAGTTCTCATACAACTGCTTCAGTCAGTACAGTCAGAGTAAGATCAATGGCTCAGTGGTTCATGTTTGTCTACAAACCGAAAGGTTGGTGGTTCAATCCCCGGTTCCACCTGACCAAGTGTCGAGGTGTCCGTGAGCAAGACACCTAACCCCAGCTGCTCCCGACGAGCTGGATGGTACCTTGCATGGCTGACACTGCCGTATGAATGTGAGGCATATGTAAAGTGCTTTGGTGGCCATTAGGTCTATGAAAGCGCTATAGACCATTTCACAAGATGTAAACAACACTGGTCCAGAAACACTTCCTGTTTCAGTTTGTAACTGTTTCTTCTAACTATCTTAAAGATGTTTGTTTAACTTTTTGATTCAGTTTTAAATGTTCTGTTGGTTGTATATTATCCCAGCTTTTAGTGTTAAAAAATTGAAACAGGAAGTGCTTCTGGACAAGTGTTGTTTACATCTTGTGAAATGGTCTATATAAATGCAGACCATTTTGCATTTTGATGACATTTCAATCTCCCACTGAGTTAAGAGAAGGAGCTAAAAATTTATGAATAGCTTGATTTTCCCTTGGGTTCCACAGATTCATTAAAAAGGCCAGCGAAAGAAAAGGTCACTCTGCTGGTCTCAAACATTACTCTTGTTAGGACCATTTAAATTCACCCTTTTCAAGTGAAAGTTTTTAATTGCTGCACTGTTAAAATACATCCAATTTCCAACAGTAAAATACTGTTTTCAATAAACTGTTTTCAATAAACGGTAAAAAAATTTTCAATAAACAGTTTAATCCTGTAAATTTACAGTCTATGTTCCATAAATTAATTGCTTGCTGTAAATTTACAGCATTTATGTCATATTATGCTGTAATGTCAGCATGCATATTGCATATGCATATTATGTCAGCATTTACGCACCATAACATGTGCTGCGTCCCAATTTGCTTACTTATACTACGCCCTAAAAGTATGTACTCTTTTTGTGTAGAAAAAGTACATACTTTTGAGTGTGTAGCAAAATAGTAGGCAAGCTTTGGGACATACTACCACGTCATCTTTAACAGACAGCTCTGTCGCGTGCTGCGTGCATCCTGTCACCGTAAACTGCCCTGGCAATCATCTTGTCATAGTTAAAATCATCCATTCTATCTAACTTGATTTTTTTAGGACAGATAGTATGCGAATTGGGACGTGACGCAGCAATATTGTTGCTCACTGCTATGACTACACACACACATAGGTCCAAGGTCCAAATAAAAAAGATGCTTGCTTACATTATAGCGGCATTTTCTGGGCTTTCCTCATGTGTGATTAAATCCTTAAAGAAGCAAGATTGTGGCCAAAACTAGTACTGCAATCACTTTCAAATTACTGTAGAGTGGTGTATCTCCTCAACCTTTCTAGTGACATATCAGGGAAAATTTGATTAATTTAAATAAGTTTCTTGCATACAGCTCCTTTAAGAACCAGATGGGCAGGCAAGCCAGGCGCACATTGGCATTCTCAATTGACAGCATGGCAAGTCCAAAAGAGATCATTGTTCGTTTCAAACATGTATTTAATGATCAGTAATATATGTTGTTGTCATTATTTATTCAAATAAATTTGTAATAAAGTAAAATGTGATCAGACTAAAAGTAGTAAAATGTGATGGGTGCCCGGACTGTCAATCAATATCTTCCAGTCATGCGGGCCCCTAATTGGTCCGGGCCCGTAAGCAACCGCTTACCCTGCTTACCGATAGTTACGCCTGTGTTTTGGACAAGCTAATTCTTTCTATCTAAACTGTCCCTTTGTTATTCTGGTTTATGGTCTCCACAATAGAGTGACCTTGATGCACACTGATGTGCATGAATATCTCACTTACGAGAGAGGCTAGTTTAATCTCAACATAAATGGTGATGTGGTGATCAACATGAAAGTCTTATCAAATAAGTCTCCCCAATTATTCCAAACAGTTACTGGATAAATTAAATAGTAGGTCTAATTAGTTATGGCATCGACTAGATGCAATGACCTTTACATTCCATCTATTACATTTCTATTGTATTGCTATAGTGATTACCAAACAGCACCAACAGCATGATTTGTTATTGGACTAAGAAGAAGAAATTCAAGAAAAGTTTGGGAATCTCTGACAGTTTTTGTGTTAGAGACACGAAGACTTTTTTCCCCATTTAATTAAGCAGAGTGTTTAATTAAATAACTATTTTAATATCACTGTGTGGAACGGAGCGTGATCTAAACTGCCGGTCACTGTAACGCAATGTTTGTTTGACAGCTAGGCTACTACAAGACAGGTAAAAAAAAGTTCGAGATCAGGCTATCATTGTGCTTTTAATCTGTTATTTAGGCCTACACTAGGCTATAACTTATCGATATTTTCGAATTTCAGAGGTCGGTCATTGCCACCAGCTTATAAAGTCCTTAATCGACTGAATATGTGATTCTTATCTATAGCCTATACTTCACCGTTCCGTATATTGATGCAACACCCCTACGCCACACATTGGTTCAACCCAAATGCGATGTTGAAGAAGCCTTGCTGCTGAAGCTGAAGTATAATGTGTTTAGATGAAGGCGGTTTTAGGTGGGCAGAACAGTTGCGTCTTACAGTAAAAAGCGAATCAATCCTGCACTTTAGTGGCATCTTCGTATTGGTATTGTGATTAAGGGTGAGTATTAAGAGCTTTATCAGACGTTTGCTGTGTGCAAAGTGTAAATATTTTAAGTGTGCTGAATTGGTGACATTTTCGAGACACAAGCGGACTGAATTGCTTTTTATATCCATTTTAAAATAAGTGGCAAGAGGTGGTCGTCGCAAAAAAAGAAAAAAAAAAAGAAAAAGGAGAAAAAAAAAGAAACAAAAACAAATCTTATTTATGGTTGTCCTGTCCTAGGCGATGTAGAAGAGCGCTGAAAAAAATCGGGTGCCCTTGAAGTGAAGCGTAGCCTATACGTTTTTAATGCAGCACCTTTAAAGCCTTTGGCATTTAAACGTAATGTTTAAAGGCAGATATCGGAGGAAAAAGAATGAGATATTCTGTCCCCAATGAATGCAGGAAAAGGAGCCCGTGTCGTGAAGTGACCATACGTTATTTAACGTTGTTTCATGATCACTCCCGCATTACTCAGAAATGTGTTAATTTGAACTTGACAGGTATTGTTGAAGTGAGATGCTTTCAGCACTTTGCACCGAACAGGATCAGCTTTCAGACGATATTGCTGGACTGGTAGCCTACGAGTCGCGCGCATTTTTTTATAGAAATCAGCGACTTGTTTCATCACCCCGTGAGAGATCCTCATTTGGTGACAAGTGCTCAAATCAGAGAGTTTGCACTCATGCGGGGTTATATCTGCTTTGCGTTCGTGCGCAGTATATAATTTCTCTGCTACACAAATACATAAAATATTGAGAGGTGAGATGAGTTTGAAAGATTATTTTAATAGAACAAATATATTTGGGATTTTACTGTGTGTTAATTGTGCACTTATAGTATTATCAAGGTTGCCTTTTTGACCCCCCAAAAAGCACTGTCCTACTACACTCTTAGAAGAAAAGGTTCTATATAGAACCTTTATAGGTTCTAAAGCGCTACGTATTTGGAACCCCTAAAATGCAATACATGTGAATGATCACAAAATTCAAGATATGGGGGTTAAAAAATGTAATTAATCAATATCACACTAGGGGTGCCATTTCAGTTTTTATCCTCCAAAAATCTGCATGATTAAAATTAATTATTAATTAATTAATATTAAGTTACTACACAGTTTAATATACAATAATTTAATTACAATATATATAATAATGTAATATATATGAATGAATAATAGCCTATAAATAACCTTTGTGCCAAAGGGGTTCTTTCTTGTCATTATCATCATTTTTTTTGTTGCATAAAAGGTCCTTTGCAGTTGATTAAAGAACCCTATGCTACATATATAGAACCCTTTTTTCTAAGACAGAATATAATAGGCTAATAGTTATGTATAGGCTAATAGTATTAGTAATATTCAATGGCTGTCATAATTGAAAGCTTTATCTAGAAAGCATGATTCATTTGCATAATTTTATAGTAAAAAAAATCGCTTGACGGTTTTTCACTGTTTTATTGTATTTCTGTTAGGTGGGTATCGCAGCACTGTGTATTTGTACAGCTTCCCACATTACACGATTTCCATTGATTTATCATGGTCTCATGTGATAGGCTACATACTTAAAAAAAATAAAATAAAAATAAAACAGAAGTTGCAATAGTCTTTTCTTCCGTTTTGTGATGTATATCCATTGGAACAGCTTATCGAAGAAAAAAAAAATGTAGGAAGGGACTTTTTATCCATTGGGAGTTGATTGGATGTTGTGGTTGTTATTGCTATGATCTCATGTGAGTGACAGGTTGTCCCGCCCCCGCGCCATCATCACAGATGAGAAGATATGTTGTTGCAAGAGGGATGGGAAGATATTTTGATTAAAGATTATCAGGAAAAGTTAGTTTAAAAAAAAACTAAAAACTAAAACGAGATGGTCCTCACTGCAGAACATGAAATCCAGGGGGAGGAGTTGGATCCAGATCCAACTCCTCCCACCTTATATATACCTAATCCTACCCATCTCCGCCCCCTATTCCCTAACCCCACCCCCTAATCCTACCCATCTCCGCCCCTGATACCTAACCCCACCCCTAATCCTACGTATCTCCGCCCCTGATCCCTAACCCCACCCCTAATTCTACCCATCTCCTCCCTTTATATCTGGATCCAACTCCGCCCCCTGCATCTTGTGTACTGCAATGAGGTGCTACTGATTGAAACTCTCATTTTAACAGGGTCTGATTGAGAGTGTCTGTTAATGTAATAAATGTGAATTTAATGTTATCATAGACAGTTGCTGGTCAAGCTTTAATGAAGGAAATTGACGATTCAGTGCACTTTTATTGTAAATGAGTGAGTGATAATATCCAATGTAACATGAAGTAAACATTCACAAGATAAATTGCATTGTTAAAATTTTTGTCAAAATGTGATTCATGTGGTAACACCTAAATGTACTGGTTTAAGTAAAGTCAGACATATTATTTAATATGACTTTTGCAAAGTAGCGTACTCTACACTGATTGCAGAGACAACCCCCTGCAGCAGCCTGTGGTTAGTGCTGTGCTCGAGAGCACAATATTGTCAGCGCAGGATTGTGATCTTGGTGACTATTCAGTTCTTGCGTTATATTAATTGGAAATGAAGCTGGTGGACTCTTAACCATTTATCTGCAGCCATTTTGGTAACCGACTCCTTGTCTTTCTCATCAGGTCGAGAAGCTAGATGTTAAAAAAAAGGTTCAAAACATTCAAGAATAAAATTTAAGCAGGCTAATTGCTTGCGTTTATCATCCTGAGAACATTGTTAAATATTGATCTAGAGTAGTGAGCAATCTATTTAAGAGTCCATATAATAGAGCACAGCATATGTGTAAAACAGTATATTTGTACACATTCTGTACTCTTTCTCTTCCTTGCATCTTTTTCTGTTATTTAAAGGAATGGTTCACTCTAAAATGAACATTTTGTCATCAACTTTTGTGTTCCAAAGAAGACACAAAGTCATTCAGTTTCTGAACAACATGATGGTAAGTAAATGATGACAGAATTTTCATTTTTGAGTGAACTATCCCTAAAAATCTCTTCTTATCTATTTATGTCAGAACAAACTCAAACACAACAGAATGCGTTTTATCCTCAGAATAGTGTAGTTAAAAAAGAAGAAGGCAGAAAAAAACTCATATTTCACTCTCGTGGGAATGGCATTAAATGACAGGTTTCTTTATCTCTAAGGATTTGTCCAGTGCCCTGGCTGATTTGCTGATGTGAAACTGTCAGGGATGATTAGTTAAACACTGCCAAGATGTGCTGAGGGCTTTTCTTGCCACTGATTATGTGTTTAGGTGCACGTGTGTCCAATTTCATGGCTCTAGGCACAAGCTAATAAAAGAGATGGAGATGAACGATAGTAGGGACAGATTTAAAGATTACATGAAGAGATGTTAAGAGAGAGAAGGAAGATAAAAGTAGAGGAAATGATGGGTAAAAATGGGGAATATTATCAAAAATAAGGGTAGACTATTTTTGGCCAGTCACTAAGACAGAGTTTTTGATGTATATCTTAGATCTTTTCCATAAATCTATTTTTTTTTCTTTGGAGTGACTTTGTCATACCAACAGAGCAAACAGAGCTCAGCAGCAGCACCGAGAGAACTGTAATCAGTGTTTCTCTGTGATTGTGTGTGGTAATGAGCCTGTTGAGTATGGACATTGTGTTTCCTCTCTGTTTCTCCTGACAGGACAGACTCCAGACTTACTGATGATAAGCATGCTGGGTAATGAGGTGCACTATAAGCAATCAGAGGTGTGTTAATCAAGTCTGTTGACACCTCAGTGCCCTTCTGTCAGCAATCCCATTTATTTTCTATTTTTATCCTTGTTTGAAATGAATTAAACACAAAAAAAATCACACATGTATTTTGCACATGCATTTTGTCTGAAAAGATCGAGAGGAGAAAACTCAGGCCTCTCATTGTTGTTATTAAACAGATATTTGATGTTTTGATTATTTTACCTATGAGCTCTCTTGACAAGCATGCTGGCCTTTGTACCCTTAATAGGGTTTTGAAGGCCAACAAAGGTTACATTTTGACACACTTAATGAAAATCAAAACCTTTTAGCTCTATAATAATGTCTGGCCTTTTGACAGCCTCTAGCACAGCTACTTTTCTGTGCTTCTGGGATAAAGATGCTTCTTCCTGGAGGATGGATCTTTAGCAACTGACATTATTGCAGGAAGGTCAATATGAAGACAGGTAGTCAATTGTAGTCTCCTGTGTAATTTCAGTTGCTACAAATAACTTAATCTTTTTCACAAGCACACAAGAACAAATTACTTAGAGGCGTGTAGACTATCCAAACACTGTACTCAAGTAGTAGTGGTATTGTGTACTTAGTGTAATAATCTTGTAAAATGTATTGCCTGAATGAAATGAAATTGAATGTAGCGATAGTGGAATCGTTCACAGACAGCACACGCAGATGTTCAACTACTAAAGATCTTCATCGCTGACAAACAATATGATGTGCAGATTTGCTTTCAATTGGTCCACTGCCACTTCATCTAACACTCTTGATGTTCTTAAGTTTCTTTATTCAATTCAGAGTAAGAAACCGCTTCAGATGATTCATTCAGTGCATGCAAAACTGAACAAAAACATTCGAACTGATTCGTGAACCAATATAGACAGTTTTGCCAACTTGTTTGACAAAGCATTTCTTAACATTTTACTGCATTTAAAATAAAGTAACGCCCAAAGTAACAAACTAAAAGTACTTTTTTTCATTAGAAATGTACTTGTGTACATGTACTAAATGTACTAATGTAAGAGTACAATCTACTCTTGAAAGTACAATTAAAAAAAAAAAAAAAACTCAAGTGTAATGTTAATGTACTTTGTTACTACACACATCTGCAAATTACATCTAACCAAATGGAGGATCTGAAACATCAAGGCTTATCGAAAGGTTTCCATAGAGGACTTGAGTCACTAAAATAAGTCATTCAAACGTATGTTAGCAAAAAGGCAGTAAATCCACAGTGGAATGGAATAATTATCCAGGGAAATCATCAGCCCAACAGTTTTATAGCATTTTTTGTTCTTGTTGTTTTAACAAATTAATACAGCACAATATGAAAAAAAAGATATGCACAATAAAAAAGATATGACTTACCTCAACCCCATCCCTAAACTTAACCATCACTGGGGTTAATAGCATTTATGACTGGAGATTTGACTGCGTATACAGACACGCGGAATGACGCGGACGTTAATGGCGTAGACATATACGCATACACGCAGATACACGTAGATAGCTCAAAATGCGTAGAGATGACACGCCACCTGACTCGAAAGTGGCGTATATGTTTACGCAAAAGTCATGATGTCATTGCACAACGCATGAAATCTGTCAGGACCAATATCGTCAAAAATGATTGACAATTAGCAGCATAGAGTTTGAATTGGCGGTATGGTTCTGTTCTGGGCAAGAAAGCAGCGATGTTAGTTCTGTTCCGTTTCCCTTAGGCTAAACGGAACAGAACTAACATATATTGCAGATATCGACGTTCGTAGATCGACTGGTGGAGACTATTTTTCAAAGATGGCTTCTTCCTGTATTCGCGAAGTTGACTGTATGTATAAAATATCTTCTTATTAAATTGTATGGATATTGACAAAGTTCTCAATGCTTCGGTTTGAATGTAGAGACCCTTAACCCTTATGTGCTGTTGTGGCTTTTTTCAGCCACTAAGGGGTATTTTTTAGTCTTAATTTGGCCGTAACTTTTTCTTTGTTTCAGCAAATGGAATGATTTTTGGTGACAAATCTTATTTTGACACATATTTTGGGAAAATGCTTTGAAATTTTTCAAAAACTCAACAGTACACTCTGGGCAAATTCACTACCCTTTCGTTATGTTCGTGGCTGAAAAAAGCCACTACTTTAAACTGCTGTAAAAATGTATCAGATAAATATTTTTTTCAAATTTTTTTGCATAAATCTATTAACCGACCTCAGTCCTGATCAAAACTACTAAATGTTTAAAAAAAATTCAGGATTTTAACTCTTTAATTGCCAAATTCATAAATGATGTCACTGATTTGGGAAAAAAAACACAGAAAATGACTTATTTTCAATATAAAATATGATTGTGGACTGGATTTTTTTTCACCTTTTATCACAGTCTTGGACATGTCAAAGATTAGAAACAACATTGGTTTTGATGCATTGTTAGTTTTTGTGTAGCATCAGATTTTAACTTTTTCTCCCTCATTTACTGTTCGTGGCTGTTTTTGCCCCATTGACTTCCATTATAACCACATTTTTTGATTGCAAAGCCATGACACCATAAAATCATGCATTTTTGATTGTTGATGGTTTTCCCTGTTGGGAAGAGGTAAAATTTGTAATTTTTACTGTTGATAACCAGGTGGAACCATTTAACCCTTTAGACAGGCCTGTGCAAAAAAAAGCTTAGTTTCTGGCTTTTACATGCAGTTATATGGAGTATAATACCATATTACAGTGTGTATATGTGTGTGTGGGTGTGCGTGAGTGTGTGAGAGAGTGTGAGAACTCACCTTGATGCGTCTGAGAAAATAAAAATATACACTTCAGCTCTCAAAACTACATGGAGTAAACAAAAACAAAGTAAGTGTATTTATGCATCTGCTGCCTTTTGATGGTGAGAAATGCAGACTAAACAAAAACAAAGCAAGTGGATATAAACGCTTGTCATGTGATGGTGAGAAGAGCAGCAAGCAACATGAGAGAGGGCTTGACTTGTAGTGAAGTTTTAGAGATGATTATGCAGTCTGACCCCTCCAGCGAGCTGCAGGAGGTATTGTCTTCTCACTCTGACCGCAGACTCAGGACAGTCAGATCCTGGTGTGGATGTGGCACCCTCATCATCATCTCAAGCTTCCACTGAAGGCGAGGAGGATTCAGATGATCCTGGATCTGGATGGACTGGGAGAATCTTGAGAGGGACATGGTGGCTCTGAAAATCACATGACCACTGCGATCATCCCACAGGCAACGTGTGGACTCCCCTCTGGATCTGAAGACGCTGGCCAAAATCAGTAGCCCCATGTTGGCACAGAGATCTGTGGAGTCCACCCCAGTCCAGTTTCTCATTGTGCGGTGCCCATGGAGGTTGGTCATGCTGACAATGAGGTCAGTCGTCTCCTCCGTAAAAAACAGATTGAACACAGAATCCATGTTCTGAACCATTGCGATAGCATTGCGTGTCGGCCCTCGACTCACGCCTCTTGCAGGCTGAAGAAAGGGAATTGTCTCCGCATTGGTGGAAAACCATACTTCACCATTTCTCCCAATCCACCCCGATCCAGGATCCACAGAATCCTCCTGCTTTCAGTGGAAGCTAGAGCTCCACTAAAGGCGAGGAGGATTCAGAGGATCCTGGATCTGTGGACTCCACAGATCTCTGTGCATGGGGCTACTGATTTTGGCCAGCGTCTTCAGATCTAGAGGGGAGTCCACACGTTGCCTGTGGGATGATCGCAGTGGTCGTGCGATTTTCAGAACCACCATGTCCCTCTCAAGATTCTCCCAGTCCATCCAGATCCAGGATCATCTGAATCCTCCTCGCCTTCAGTGGAAGCTTGAGATGATGATGAGGGTGCCACATCCACACCAGGATCTGACTGTCCTGAGTCTGCGGTCAGAGTGAGAAGACAATACCTCCTGCAGCTCGCTGGAGGGGTCAGACTGCATGATCATCTCTAAAACTTCACTACAAGTCAAGCCCTCTCTCATGTTGCTTGCTGCTCTTCTCACCATCAAATGACAAGCGTTTATATCCACTTGCTTTGTTTTTGTTTAGTCTGCATTTCTCACCATCAAAAGGCAGCAGATGCATAAATACACTTACTTTGTTTTTGTTTACTCCATGTAGTTTTGAGAGCTGAAGTGTATATTTTTATTTTCTCAGACGCATCAAGGTGAGTTCTCACACTCTCTCACACACTCACGCACACCCACACACACATATACACACTGTAATATGCTATTATACTCCATATAACTGCATGTAAAAGCCAGAAACTAAGCTTTTTTTTTTTGCACAGGCCTGTCTAAAGGGTTAAATGGTTCCACCTGGTTATCAACAGTAAAAATTACAAATTTTACCTCTTCCCAACAGGGAAAACCATCAACAATCAAAAATGCATGATTTTATGGTGTCATGGCTTTGCAATCAAAAAATGTGGTTATAATGGAAGTCAATGGGGCAAAAACAGCCACGAACAGTAAATGAGGGAGAAAAAGTTAAAATCTGATGCTACACAAAAACTAACAATGCATCAAAACCAATGTTGTTACTGATCTTTGACATGTCCAAGACTGTGATAAAAGGTAAAAAAAAATCCAGTCCACAATCATATTTTATATTGAAAATAAGTCATTTTGTGTTTTTTTCCCCCGAAATCAGTGACATCATTTATGAATTTGGCAATTAAAGAGTTAAAATCCTGAATTTTTTAAAAAAAATTAGTAGTTTTGATCAGGACTGAGGTCGGTTAATAGATTTATGCAAAAAAATTTGAAAAAAATATTTATCTGATACATTTTTACAGCAGTTTAAAGTAGTGGCTTTTTTCAGCCACGAACATAACGAAAGGGTAGTGAATTTGAACAATGCACAAGGGTTAATATGCTATCGTGTTACTCTGGGGCTATTTTGGGCCTTTTTAGTGGTAATAACAAGCGATATTTCTTTGTCATTACTCTATGCCCCATATACTAGCGTTATACTAGCATTATAGGGATATTTTTTAGAGATAAAACTATTTACATTCGGCAATCATGAAAACAAATCTCAGATAACGGTTGACTAGGTAGCAATGTGTAATTAGACCAAAGGTTCATTTTGTGCCGGAGTTCTCCTTTAATGCTATGCTTAATTTGGCATGTATAGATGGGACATTCATGGGATTGGGAAGTGCGGCACAGCTTATAGTTTGCAAAAAAAGAAACCCATTCAAACCCAAAAGAAACCCTTGAGCAATTTTCTATTTCAGGTGGTAGCTGAATTAGACGATTTTGTGGGATGAACTATAAAATTCATTTATGCTTTTTTTTCTTGTCTTTTAGGATGGAGGATGGCTTCTCCCATCTTCAGATGTGTGTCCTGTGAACCTTTAAATGACTGAAGGCTATAAACTCACGATTATCAATAAGTGCAATCATAATGTCGTCTATGATCAGTATGGCAGCACTTCAAAACGCCTACCTTTTCAGTGACCATCATACAAAACTGTGAGCTAAAGGACAATAAGCTCACAAATTGTAGTGCCAAGAAAATAACACCCACTCAGAAAGCAAACTCTTGCAAATGTTTTCAAATGAATTAACTTGAAAACATCCAAAAAGAAAATCATGCCTGACCTAAAAAACAGTAAAACAAGAAAAGAAAAATCCATTCACTCTTACAGTGACTTAATTTATTTTTACCTTCCCTTCTAATTAGAGCCAGACCCTATCCTAACCCTATCCATTTGCATACAGTCACATGCTGCCATGACTCAACCCAATGTTACTGTACTCTTGGCCAATATCTCTGGAGGATCTGAATTGGGTAATCTGTACCGTCCATTTTCTGTGTTCAGTGTTCTTACACTCACTTTGCTGGCCATGCTTGTGGTGGCCACCTTTGTATGGAACCTTCTGGTTTTGGTGACCATCCTGAGGGTGCGCACATTCCATCGTGTTCCCCACAATCTAGTTGCCTCCATGGCCATCTCGGATGTGATGGTTGCAGGACTGGTTATGCCCCTAAGTCTGGTTAGGGAGCTTTGTGGACAGCGGTGGATTCTGGGTCGGGCCCTGTGTCAGGTCTGGATCTCCTGCGATGTACTCTGTTGCACAGCCAGTATCTGGAATGTGACGGCCATTGCCCTAGATCGTTACTGGTCCATAACACGCCACCTGGAGTACACATTAAAAACACGCAAACGAATCTCCAATGTGATGATTTGCCTCACATGGCTACTCTCCTCTGTTATCTCGCTTTCTCCGCTTTTTGGTTGGGGTGAGACCTACTCAGAAGTCAGCTTGGCTTGTCAAGTAAGCCAGGAGCCCTCATACACAGTCTTCTCCACTTTTGGAGCTTTTTACCTGCCCCTCTGTGTGGTCCTCTTTGTCTACTGGAAGATCTACAAGGCTGCCAAGTTCCGCATTGGCTCTCGTAAGACCAACACCATCACACCCATGGCTGAAGTCATAGAGGTAAAAAAATAAAATAAAAAATTATATAAGATTATGTATACACAGTGGAAAGAATACTTTTGTGATCTCTTTGAAAATACCTGGATTTCTGCATTAATTACTCATAAAATGTCTTTCATAAGATTATAGATATATTATATATAATTATAGATAAACACAGTCTGACTAAACTAATAACACAAATAACTGTAATTGTTCAAATTTTTATTAAATACATTGCACAATAAATATGTGAAACTCTAAGTGAAACTTTTGTAACTCTTTGGCCTTGTCCACATGGACACAGGTATTTTTATAACCGGAGTTTTTCCTGCTGTGTTTTAAAAAAATCCTGTCTACACATGCTCGATTTTAAAAAAATCTCCATCTTTATTAAAATGCAAAAACACATTATCAAGCACTGTCAAGAGCATGTCACACCAGCAGGCGGCGATAACAAAAAGAAGCCAATAACCAAAAAGTTATTACCAGTTATTACTGGTATTACCGGTTATTACCGTTTTCGGTAGGCGGATAACTGCGCACAATCTGACGTTAGACACAGCGGATAATGGCACACACTCTGACGTCGCAAGGTCTACATGAAAACACTGTAACCGGCGTTTCTGAAAATCCTCACCCTGGCAGGAGTTTTCAAAAATGTTCAGTTAAAGTGACCCGATACTGTGTTTTCGTGTGGGCAATGTATATATATATATATATATATATATATAAAAAAACACGTCCATGTGGACAAGGCCTTATATCCTCCATTAGCAACTCCCCACAAATCTGTTTCAGTTGTTAAATTCTAGGTTGTCTTGAGAGCACAGCCCTCTTTAGGGTATGTCAGATTTTTTCAGTCATTCTTTGGTTCGTATGTGTGATTTGGATCATTGTCTTGTTGCATCAACCATCCACTCTAAAGCTAAAGTCATTAGCATATGTCCCAACAAAATGTCTTGATGGGCTTTAGAATTTATTGTTCAATTAAATAATTCAAAGTGTCCAGACACTGAGGCAGCAAAGCAGCTTCAACCATCCACCATGCTTCACATTTGAGATGAGGTTTTAGAGTTGGTGTGCAGATCTCTTTTTTCTTCAAGCAAAACATTGTGCATTTTTGTCTCAACTGTTCAACTTTTGTCTCCACTGTTCACAGAACATTTGCCAAAAGCATTATTTAACCTGATGGTTTTAGGCAAACATGAGACATTTTTTTCTGGTTTCCCTATCTGTTGTCCTTTCATGAACACCATTATTGTTCAGTGCTTCTGAAATAGCGTACACATGAACAAAGACTCCTGCAGTTTGTAGAGTTATCAGGGGTCTTTTTGTTGTTATCCTTGAGTTCATTCACACCTCTTGTTGTGTTCTGAGAGTGATCTTTGTCGGATGCCAACTCCTAGCGTCCCTAGCTTTCACACGTAGGTATGTGCATGGTTGACTGGAATACAATCTTTAGTATAGACAGGGGGGAGTTCAATATAAGTGGTGGAACTACGTATAATCTCTTACACGAAGTCCTGAAATCCTTTCACTCTTCACTGTATCCTTTCCAGTCATGGTGGTCAGTTTTAACTTGACAGGAAATTTATCTGCCTGCTTCTTGGTCGATAAAGGTTTTATCACTGTGAATCGAGCAAGACATAAACTAATTTTTCCGTACTTACATTGTTGCTTGATGATAACCATACGCCAGCCATAAATGTATAAGATGATGTCCAAGACATACGGACGCAGGTCAGATGAAATGACCACAAAGTCGATCATAGACCTACGACCTAGGGTGTCCTGGTGCCACGTGCACTGGTGGACACCCATATGCTTAAACATGGTGTTCGTTATGGACAAACTGTAACTAGTACAGAAGTCCAACAACTGAACACCACTCGGGTTCAGGTCGGGGGGCCCGTTCCTCCCAATCACGCCCCTCCAGGTGTCACTGTCGTTGCCCACGTGAGCGTTGAAGTCCCCCAGTAGAACAACTACAGTACAGTAGAGTCCCCAGTCGGGGCACTTTCCAGCACTCCTCCCAGAGACCCCAAGAAGGCCGGGTACTCTGCACTGCCGTTTGGCCCGTAGGTACACACGACAGTGAGAGACCTATCCCCGACCCATAGGCACAGGGAAACGACCCTCTCGTTCACCAGGGTAAACTCCAACACATGGCGGCTGAGCTGGGGGGCTATAAGCAAACCCACACCAGCCCGCCGCCTCTCACCATGGGCAACTCCAGAGTGGTGAAGAGTCCATCCTCTCTCAAGGAGTGTGGTTCCAGAGCCCAAGCCATGCGTAGAGGTGATCCCGACTATCTCTAGTCAGAACCTCTCAACCTCACGCACAATCTCGGGCTCCTTCCCCGCCAGTGAGGTGACGTTCCACGTCCCTGAGGCTAGATTCCGTGTCCAGGGATCGGGTCGCCGAGGCCCCTGCCTTCGACTGCCGCCCGATCCTCTCTGCAACGGCCCCTTACGGCTCCTCCTGCAGGTGGTGAGCCCACGGGAAGACGGTCTCACGACGCTTCTTCGGGCTGAGCCCCGACCGGACCCCGTGGGGAGAGGCCCGGCCACCAGGCCCGGCCACCAGGCGCTCGCATACAAGCTCCAACCCCGGGCCTGGCTCCAGGGTGGGGCCCCGGCTGCGCCATACCGGGGTGACGTCACGGTCCTTGAATATAATTCTGCCATAAGGGGTTTTTGAACCGCTCTTAGTCTGACCCGTCGCCTAGGACCTGTTTGCCTTGGGAGACCCTACCAGGGGCATATAGCCCCAGACAACATAGCCCCTAGGGTCATTCGGGTACTCAAACCCCTCCACCACGTTAAGGTGGCAGTTCAAGGAGGGGCTTATAATAATTTATCATTTGCAAAAAGTAAAATGCATCTGTGTAGATGAGAGAACGTTGTTCACACTGGCCAAGCATGCGCGCTTAAAATAGCATGTGAAAGTACGCGCAACGTGCCACTGACTTTAGGCTAATTTTTTTTCTGGTCAGTGGCGCAATTGTTTTCTGGAACTGCAAAATAGCACTAGGGAATGTTTGCACCGAAACACGCCTGTGTTTTTGCGCCGACCCGCCCAGGGAGCGCAATTTCATTCCATAGTTTACCGCCGTGCGTCTGTGGAAGGAAAAGCCTGCTTTGCGCTGGTGCAAAATAGTGATAAATGCGTTTGAGTATAAAGTCATTTGCGCCGGGTGCAAGATAGGGCCCATAGTGTCTTCCATCTTTTTTGGAAGCTAAGCTAGCAGGCTCTTGTTCTGTGGAGAAAGCTGAGTAGGGGTTACCATCATCTTTTGCCTGGACATGTCCGGCCGTCGATGTCCGGGATTCAGCTTTTGCTTTCGGCAGTCGTCATTCATTGTTTACATGTACACGTTTTGTTTCAACTGAATTAATTCCGATTGGTGAATCTGGATGTAGTGTTTACATGAATGCTAAACAAGTGATCGGTTGATGTGCGTTCTAAAGGCCTCATTAAGGCGTAGCTACGTCGTCACTACTACGGCGTCGTGGCCGTTTAATGCTTCTTCGTCAGGTTGTGGTGCTTCGCGGTGCATTTCGCCGCCAGAACGCTAGGGGGGTTCGCAAATCTCTTTGGTTCTGAGAGCGAAAGAGAGAGAATGTTGTTGCAGCTGCCAGCTGGAGCTAATTGACGTTAAATAACAAGACGACACAAACTTTATCCCCACAGAATCAACACGGATGTCCAGGGCCCGTTCCACCCATAGAAAGTAAAAGAAAGGTTCCACCCGAGCTGCCATAACGATACCTGTTCGGAATGACTTGAAGGATTTTTTTCAGTCTCCACATGGAACTGTGCTATGGCAGGATAATGTGTCCCGTGGCAGACTTGGTTAGTACTGTATTATCAATGATGTAACCGTGAACATTGTATTGAAAATAAACAACAAACTGTGTTTCAAAACAAACGTTGATTTATTGATTAATTGAAGTTTATGGCGAGCAAAAAAGAAAGAAAAGAATATAGACATATATATTAACAATGAAATAAAAAACAGTTTATTTTTAGTTTAATTCTTTATTTACTTTCTTTATAAGAGTATTATAATTATCAGAACGAGGGTGCAAATGTTAAAAATAGCACTATAGCGGGAGGGGGAAATCGGAAAAGCTACACTCCTGAAATTATGTATAATCTGACCAATCAAAGCCCTTGCTGCCTGCGTCGCCTCGACGCGTAGTTACAAATTTTTGGAGGTGCACGTCGAGCTACGGCGGAGGGGTCGGAGAGGGGTTCACGTCGACGGATAGGGGTCTGCGGGGGTACGCCGTCGATTCGACGCACAAGCATAAAACAGGCTTAACACTGCTAAGAAAATTCCCGCTCCTTTGTGTGAGATACGAGAGCGGTGCATCTCACAGGTGTCGCTCATCGGTAATCACGACACCGGCCTCGCGTCGTTCTCCCGCGCTGTCACTCGTCCTGCTCGCCACAGTAAACATGATGAATGGTGACTGTAGAAGGCAAATGCCGAATCCCGGACATTTTGGGCGATCTCGAAACACATTTTCGGGCAGACTCATCACAGAGACTCACTAGTAACCTAGACTTGTTGTTTAACTACTGTGCTCTGTAACCAGTGGGTGTGGCCTCCTAGGGCAGCAAGTGCATTCTGGGAGTTGTTGTCTTTTATCCACATAAGCCAAAATACATTTTCTGGCTTTTCTCAGTCTAGAAAGCTCCAAATTCAAAATTCACATTTCTTCTACATAATTGACCCATTTTAAATACACATTCATCTTTCTAGAGGTGAAGTATCCCTTTAAGGTCTCTCGAGCACTGAAAATCTTCTCCAATATTAACACAGGTGCTACCTCTTGCCTGATTATAACTAGGGGTGGTTAATCTGTCTGAATTCCCGATTCGATTCGATTACGATTATTGAAGTCCCGATTCGATTACAGTCGATTTTCGATTATAAACGATTCTCGATTACCGATTATTGATTTTCCATTTCACAACAGTAAACGAAAATACACTAGACCAACATATGA